TAAGCTCTCAGTCCTCCGTCGAAAGTGAGCTCAGTACGTCAGATGACTCCATATCAATGGGATACAAACTGCAGGATTTGACTGATGTCCAAGTTATGGCCCGCCTACAGGAAGAAAGTATGTGATAGCCATTTAACCCCTTCTCTACATTAGGGCTGTCTTTTCTTCAAGGAGAGGGTTTTGTTTTCTTTAAAGCTCGTATATGCCAAAATAAAATCATTTGCCATTTATTCTGTTCTGTTTTGTTTTAAATAGCTGCACAATCTAACCACTTAGCCTGGGCAATTGAATGGCTTTGCTGAGTAAATGAAATTGTCCTCACCAGTGTGGGATGTAAGGAGAGGACCGATGTTGCTCTAGTGATGTAAGGCTTGGTAAAAACTGGCCGTCAAGCTCACTGCAGCTGTTCTAGAGCCAGGGCAATCTTTAGCACAGAAGGCTGGGTCGTTGGCTTGAATCTGAACCAAGGAAGCTTCTTCTTAGAGCTTGAATTGCCCTCCTAATAAATTATACCGGAAAAGAACAGGAGCAGAAGACGTGCCTGTGTGGGCTGGTTTCCTGTTAATGATATTATCTTGGAGACGGTTCACAAAACAAAGTGGGATGAATGGGAAGGGTCACAAAGAATCTGGCTTAGCAGACTTCATTATCCTCCCCCCCCCCCCATTAATATTTTGAGAATCCTGGTTTGCTCTACCTTTAGTGTAACAAGCATAAACAAAGTTATCTGGCTTCTCTGATGAGAACTTTGAGTACCAATGATCAAACAATGATTGTGTCCTCCGTGGCCATATTTAGGTCTCCGTCAGGACTGTGCTTCCAGCTCAGCCTCCGTTTCTCGCCGCAGCTCCAGTGCCTCCTTGCATTCTTTGCGCAGAGGCACCTACAGTGACCAGGACTTTGACACGTACAGTCTGGAGGATGAAGATGACGACTGTTCCCTTTCCTATCACAGCAGCCACAGATATTCCCCATCCCCCCTCAGCTCTCCACGGTGCCAATCCCCATCCACCAGCACAGACTATGGCAGGGCGACGGGCACTCGGATTCGCCCCCCACGGAGGACAATGCAAAGTCCTATGCAAGACAGATTGAAATACTCTGGGAATGAAGGTATGTGATACAGTTGCCAAGTTTGCCTGGTTCTGGGATGCAGAGCGTTAGCCAGCAGGGGTATATGTGTGAGAGAATATACATGGAAGCAGTCGTATTCCTCGTCACATCTCTTTCTTCACAGAGGAGCTGCGGCACAGCATGCCTAACCTGGCCAGAACAGGCCTGCGTTCCTTGGAGTCTGTAAGGAACAGCCGCAGCTTGGAGTCAGATCTCCAGGTTCCTGGTAACCGTCTCTCCAGAATCCAGCAACCATCAGGTGGTAAGCTGCGAATGTTCCTGCGATTCATTTGCTATTCTGCCTCAAATCCCATGGTCTTACTTATGCCTTCTTTCTCCCTCCGTTTCAAGGTCTGGCACCAAGCAAGCTCCGCTATTCCACTGGTGCTGGGCAGTCTCCCTTAACAGCCCGACAGCCAATGAAAGCGGGCTCCTGCACAAACACTCTCCTACCACCACGACAGCCTGTTAGAGCCACTGGTTATGCCAGTCCTACTGGAAGAGTTCGAAAGCTGCCATCTTCCACGCTCAGCCCAGCTTCTGCAGGCAGTAGCAATTCTATGGCCAGAAGCAGTTGTGTAGCCACTGGAGCAAAGAATTCCCTGGCTAAAACACGAACATCTCTAGGGGGAGCAACTGCTCCAAAGAGCAAGCTGAACCAGCCAGCCAAGAGGTAAGAACAAAGTAGCCTGAAATGGTAGGTGAAGCGATGGTGACACTATTATGTCCCGCAAAGTAAGCATTGCTCTGTGCTTGGCCGGAACGTCAGTTGAATGCTCATTGCCATGAGCTTACAGCAAGGCACACTTGTGAATAAACAATCAGTTTTGCTGATGCTGAACATGGTGAAGGACTGTTTGCATAATTCCGTTTTAAATAGAATGGATACTTGCAATGAAGAGTTTATGTCATGAGTTGAAATAGGGGGTATTTGAACTGTGTTGTTTTGTGAAGCTGACCTCTGTGGGATTGGGTCAAAACCAGTGTTCATGGCCAGCAAGAAGCCTGGTGCCAGATAGCTACAGGGCTGTCAAAGAGAACTTAACGTTTTCAAAAGGTTGCTTGTGTGATTTTGAAAGCCAGTGTCATTCAAAAACATGCATGTAAACATTTGAACAGTTTTGCTTCCTCGGTAATTTATATGGGGGCAAGAGGAGGTACAAAAGCCTCATTCAGTGGACGCAGCCTAGCAACAGGTATATCCTGTGGGTTTGCTGATTGAGCTTTCTCTTTTCTTGAGAGGCAGTGTGTTATAGAGCTTATAGCAGTGGGCTACAATTGGGGAGACCCTCCTTTCATTGCCTGCGGAGACATAAGGTTCAATGGGTGACCTTAGGCTAGTCAGTCACTCTGTCAGCCTAACCATCCTCATAGGCTTGTGAGTATAAAATGGAGGAGAGAGCCATGTATGCTACCCTGATCTCCTTGGAGGAAAAATGGGATAGAAAGTAACGTCACATGACTCTCTAATAGTACTTGTCTAAAGTGCTAAATCTGTATGTGTTCCAGCAGATTTCCAAAGGCCAGTGTTTCTGTTGATGACTCTTGGAAGGATGGGTGTTACTGAGCCAAGATGAAGAAATGCTGATAAACAGCCAGATGTTGACAAGGAGGTGGGTGGAGTAAAGCCCAGCTGGCTGGGCAGAAGAAAGTTGTGAAAACTCCCTTCCCATTGCTATCGGACTCGACCAACTTGGACAATCTTTACTTGAACTAAGACCTCCTCTTGCCTTTGCTTGACTTGATGGTGGAAACGGACTGCCTTTTTGTTCCTGCTGTTATGTTCTTGCTGCTGAGCCCAGAGAACTGTTTGATATTAGCATCTGTATTTAGAATATATATGGTGGCCTGGTGTCTACACTTGAACTTTTTTTCTATGTGCCCACAGAGGGAAAGTAGTGTGGGTTGGAGCTCCTTTACTACTAGCAAGAAGCTTTGATTCATTCCTTGGCACTTTTTTGGCATAATTAGAAATTCCTCTTGAAAATGTCACCTGGAGCATCAATTTTTTTCCCCCCTGGAGACTCAGAGGGTTTTTTTTTACTTGTCCTATATTAGGTATCTCTTCACTGCTTTTATTATTGTAGGGGCTGAAACAGGTTTTTATATCTATTGATAATACGAAATTTGTATCTCCCATCACAAGAGTGTCTCAGCTCACAAACTAGCACCACCACCAGTAAGACTTTTGTGCCGTTGTGTGTGCAGGGTTGCTGTGAAGTCGTTTTGTTACCTGACTTGCTCTCTTCTGAACTGGGCGAGGCCTTGGTGTTGGCAGTGGTGCTGCTTCCAAAAAAACTGACCACACATCTGAGGTATTTCTCTCTGGTTACCCTCACCCCAATCCCAGATGTTAAAATGTTCTGTTCTGCTTTTGTATAACTTTTCTACTGTGATTTTTTTTTTAATGAAGGAACTTTTAAACTAAATCGGTGGCTGCTGAAGCTTATTGAATGCAAGAACACAATCATAACTGAGAATGCAAACTGGCCTGCCAGCCCTATTTTCTGCCACCAATGTGACTTGATATTGTAGTTAATAAATGTGAAGGGGCTAGTAATACCTTGCTTTTAGTAGCAAAGTGTCTTTGCTTCTTTCTTTCACTGGCCTATATGTAATTTGATGATTATGGCATGTCCCCTCCAAAGGACTTACCTTACCTGAGGCAGCGTGGATCTCTCGACAAAAAGAGTCCTTTTCTGCCTGGCCTGACACTTTCATGTATCTTTGTATGTACTTCTTTTGCGCCGGGGGGGGGATCTTTGGCACAAGGAAAACAGGAGCCTATGAAGAATGTATTGGACAAAATCAAAGCTCACCCATTAAAGTCACATGACAGACACTTAATGAATGCTTAATGTGGTTTGATGCTTAGTTTCCTTCCTGTCTGTGGGGATACCAAGTTCTTCTGATTCATATGAGGCATCCTTGCTATTTCTCACTCTTAATTAGTAAGTACAGCTTCCTCCAAACATTATGTAACGTGCAAGTTTGGAGATCTGCTCTAAAAAGAGTCTGGCTTAACATCCATTAAGAATGCCTTCAAAGTACTTCTAAGGTGTTAATTTGTATGTGGGATGGGAGTCTGCTGTACCAGCAAAATCAAACATATAAATTATGTCAATAGGCACTTCTCTTACTGTAGTTAAATAGCTGAATGAGGAGCGAGCTATGTCTAACATACAAATTAGTGAAGACATAAAATTTCTTTTACTGCATATGGGAAAAATTGAAATCATGAAGTTCTGGAAGTTAGAAATGTCATTTTTAATTAAGTATTCATTTGCAATATACAGAGTGCTGCTTCTCCTGATGGATTTCAGCAATGAGAGGTGCTTAAATTGAGCCTAGAACAAACTGCTTACGCATAACCCTATTTAACATTGAAGCTGCTATGTAATGTTCGTGCATACTTTGGCTCAGTGAAAGGTAACCTTCCCTTCAGCTCTAAGCCTGATTACAACCCACAGCATCTCTTTAGAAAACCGGTATGACAGTGATAAAAAGTGGTATACTGGGACTAGTTTGATCTCTGCTATGGAAGGATTTTAAATTGACAACAGAAAGGTACGTACAGGTATTGCACTTGGTGTAAGGAAGGAACTGCAGGTTAAGCTGCAGCCTGAAAAATAGTTTGTAGTAGTAAAACCTGTTTCTTTCAAGTCCTCAGTTTCCTCGACTTAAGAAGAAACTACTACTGGTTTAAGTTAAGCAGACTTAGCTGAGGACTGATTCTCCTCAAGGAGAACTTAATCGGTAGCCCTTTCTTCCCCCTCCCTGATGAGAAGGTTCACATCAACTGTTTCCAGTACCACTAATTTATTCAAACAAGTTAACTTTATTTTACAATAATGCATCAGTGCATTTTTAAAATAGAAGAAAGCAGTTTATTTTAGAACACATAAAGTCAACCAAAATCATAGAAAATTATTAATAACAAGCCTTAAAACATGCACAATTAATTCAACACTGACTTGTGCCTGGGAGAGGCAAAGGACAGAACAGGAGGAGAATGCCACTTTCAGAAGCCTGTGTCAGAGCTGGGACAGAAGATCAACCCTTTCCGCCAAGGGAGAGAGAAATGGGTGAGGCGAGCCACAGTGCTCACCAGTGAGTGTCAAGAATGCCCTGCTGGGGATGGAGACTGGGCTTCTAAGAACCTTCCCATGGGTGGCGGTGGAGTTAATGCCTCAGTGGTGCTCGTGGTGGAAGAAAGGGACACAACGTATGTGTCCAACAACTGACTTAAACACACTGAATCAGCACTCATTTCTCATAAATTGCTTGCTATTCTACCGTCTTCCACAGAAAACTTTTCAAGCAAGTTGCCCTTACGCCTCAACACAACAGTGTGTACTTAACTTCTGAAATCATCCACCGCTGGCACATTGCTCTGAAATGAAACATTCAGTAAATACAGACAGCTCCCGGAAGCCCTCTGAGCTACTCTTAAGGCCATCCCCCATGAAAGCTGAAGTTACTCCTGCCCAGCTATTCTCCATGGCTTCCCTATATTCAGTATTAGATAACTGTATCCCTTGTGCATCTTGTAGCCATTTTCCTTTAGGACTTTAATCAGCAGGGCAGGTATTAAATGCCCCCCCCCCCCAGCTAGTGAAGTCAAAGATGAGCCCCCTATTACACACAGAAATCAGGCACAACAGAAGAGCTCTTCAAAATCACAAATAAGCAGATTGTTACAGCAACAATAAACATTTACAGACATTCGCCATTCATTGAACTCACAAGAGACCTCACCACCATGCCCCAGAATAGCCCCCCCCCCAAAGGTCACAAGGGGGCTCCTCCTCCTGGACGTTACATCCCAAGAGGAGATTAGGAAAGGCACCACTGGGAAAGTAAGCATAGGAGGGAGCCAGTTATCGCTTCTACCTGGGTCAGAATACATGAACCCATTTGGGTCCAGTGGTTTCCTTTCCCTCCCAAGGACCAAATTATGAAGTCACCTTCAGCTCTTCCCATTCCCCTCCAGCAGGGCCTCAGGACAGTAAAGTGCAAAGCAATGATAACACAGAAATAGATGCATAGACCCTCCCACCATCAACTGCCTTCCTTCCTCCCACCTGAGGAAGCTCTGCAATGAAGACAGCAGAGCTCCTTTCAAGTAGGTTTTAACAGAAAGAGACGCCACCGCTGTGGCTTGGGGCTGCAGACTCTTTTGGGGGTGATAAGGCAAAAAAGACTTGAGTGTCCTGGAAGGATGAAGAGCTAGGAGGTCCGAGTTTGTTTTAGGAGGGTCATTCCTTCACATAGGTTCTTGCTCACGTGTGCTCTTGTATGTGGCCAACTGGTTCCAACGGCTACTTCGATACACAATTCGGCCATGAGAGGCCTCCGCAGGCAGCTGACACAATTATGTAGATTATGACCTGTGGGTAGAATGGACTTAAGTTTTTCCCCAGCAAGGTGGCAGTAATGACAGCCCTACTGTTGCCCAGGGAGGATTAAAACTAAAGGCTTTGGCAAAGGAAAAATATCCAGTGTTCTAAAGGTCTAGTGCAGGGGCGGCCAAACTTGCTTAACGTAAGAGCCACATAGAGTAAACATCAGATGTTTGGGAGCCACAAGACATGAACAGATATTATTTATTTATTCAGACTTTTATTCCCCCCCCCCCCCGGCTCAGGGCAGCTTACATAAAACAGATAATTTAATTAAAACAAATGATAAAATCATACAAAAGTGCTAGTTGTTAATATTCGTACAACAGTAGCAGCCAATAACCACTGTACACGTTTTTAATGGAAAATATGCAAATTTGCTTTTTATTAACATTAAATGAGACTGCCAAAAATAATAACAAAAGGGGTAAAAGCAAATATTGATAATGACATTTGTCTAACTAGGAAAAAGGCCCGTTGTGGAAATAAATACAACGGCCTCTAGAAAGAGGCTCTGGGCGGGTGCCCCGGCCTTGGACACTCAGTGTCAATTTGCTGTGGCAACCTCAGCAGGGTATAATGACACTGAGTCCACCATTTTCTCCAGAGGAACTGATCTCTGCTACCTAAAGAACAGTTGTAATTTTGAGTGATCTCCAGCC